ATAAAGGAAGAGAGGAGAGGCTGGCATCCAAACATAAATGAATGGGGGAAGGGGGGCATTCTCAGCCTTCTAAGAAACATCACTAGTAATCTTGCATAAACAGGTATTAGTGGGCACACCTGTGCCTGCAGGTGCCATGTTGGCAACCCTCACTGTAACACAGTGCAGCAGATTTTCATGTTTTTCATTCAGACATCCACCCTGCCAGGGATGTCAACTTGAATAAAATATTGGGGAGGGGGCTAGGTCAGCCCCACCCCACATAATCGATCACATCGCATGGCACATGCACACCATTTGAATGGCAATGCACATTAACTTTGGGGGCGGCCCCCTCAAATATTTTATGGGGGTGGCTGAGGGGCCCTCGGGCCCTAGGAGTTGGCTGCTATGCCCCCCACCATGAGATATGCCTGACTGGAATCCAAAAGGACAATACAACTAGCTGTGAGCACCCAAGGAGCCTATTTCTCAAAAAGCAACACACACACACACACACACACACAAATATATTAATGGCACATAGCAACTTGCTTTTAAAAGGAGTTCCTGATATAAAATGCAAGCCTTCTGTTAAAAAATTAAATTAAATTAAACCCATAAGTTAAAAGTAGCAATCTGGATGCCAGTCATCATCCATAAAGATTAAAAAGCCAGCTTTGCAAATAAGCCCACAAGAGCCACTGACTAGCCCATGAAAGCAAGCAAGCCACAATAACAAAAAGGACAGCATGCCTGACTGCATATACTTGTCATGTGAAGAGCAACCCTATGCATTCTGACGCCCATTGAGTTAAATGGGACTTCCTTGGGAGTAACTGTGCACAGAACTGCAGCCCTATTCACACACCTATGCAACATGCGGTATGCGTTCCTCGCACCCTGACAACTCTCCAATTTTTACTCATCAGAGGAACCAGGCAAGTGTCTATAGAGCAGGTGTGGGGTAAACTTTGGCCCTCCAGATGTTGCTGAACTACAACTCCCATCAGCCCCAGCAAGCAGAGCTAACAGCCAGAGGCTAAAATGGAAAGAGGCCAACACATGCAACTCTTGCCTTTGCATGAGAGGACATGTTCAAGCCCCGCAAAAACCAGAGGTTCCTACACCTACTCAGCCCCCATCTTTCCATCCAGCCAAGCAACAGGCATCGCCGCAGATATAGGGCACATTCCATCCAAGCAAAAGCACTCAAGGAGGTCATTGGCCCAGGCCAATTCCCGCTTTAAAGGCAGATTTGAACAACTGTTGCTTTTTATTTTCAAAGGAAGAAAGGCCATTGTTTCTTTGACCCAGCATGCCTTCTTGCAACCAGTGGTCTTTTGCGCCAGGCACAATCTACTTTAATTAAGTCTGCAAAAAACAGCTCCTCCATTTTGTCTCAAGGCTGGTAGCTGAATGCAGAGTTGGGCTTCCAACAAGCCTAGCAACATCTCTCTCCCCACCCTGCTCAATCTTATTGCTTAACATCTAAACTGAAGATTCCCAGTGCGCTTAAAAGCTTGGCCACCACCTTGTGATTTTTGGATGGTCCTAATAAAGGCATTATTGTTTTGCTATCCAAATTTGGAACTTGTGTGTTTGCTTCCCCAGTGTTAGAGGGGGAGCTTAAACCCCATCAGCACAGATTATTAACAGTTCTTGTAGGCTTCCGGAAAAGCTAGCAAGATTTCACATCGCTTTGCACGGCTAGTTTCTCTTAACAAATGCTCTCCGCACCGAGCCAAAGCTTAGTTAATATAAAATTATAGGAGACAAGCTCAATTTCTGTACTGCCACAATTCAATTGCAGCAAGAACTTCAGTTCTTGGATTTGCTGTGTCAGTTTGAAAAGCTAATTGTTTATTCTGCTTGAATGGCCATTTAGCAATAAGGTGGGTGTTCTGGAATGCTCCAGTCCGAAATCCTATGCACATATTTGCGAGACAACTTGAGGAGCCATTTTGTTCTGGAACATTCTTAGGCAGGTATTACAGGGCAGAAGTTAATCATTTTGACACCAGCGTTCCTAAGGCACTTTTAATGCACATGTTGTCAAGCATCTTGTATCCATCACACTTCTAATTATTCCTCAGGTGGCAGCTGAATTCTCCCCGCAACCAAATGTTTTCTCCTCTGTTTTATATCAACGCTTAAAATTGACAGTTTTGGACTCTCCATTCACAGCATATCTTTCAATACCCTTTAATGCACAAACTCTGCAAGGAATTATATCCAAAATTACATTATTAAAGAACACTGTAGTATTGAGAGCCTGTAGAAAATTAAATCCTGACAAACAAAGCTTCTGCTTCTGCTTTTGCCAAGTGAATTCTGAGAACTTCCTGTCCTCCCCAAAGGAACAAAAAAGACAAATGCTGAGAATTCTAGCTAAAGCTAACCATGATGCAGGCTGTAACTGACTAATATCTGTTTTTTCCAAATGGTACCCATTCCTTTCAATGCACCAGAGTCCGCTATACACCCCACATTCTAAAAACGGGCTCTAGTGGCAGGGAATAATTATGATTGTATGTAGCCGCTTAGGTTTTTAACTGCCTGATCCTAAACATTTACAAAGCGTTAGACCCACTGTGTTTAGCAAGGCTTGCTCCCAAGCAAGTCCCCAGTTACAAGGCCATCATAAAAGTTCAGTTTTATCATCTCAATGCAGGACTGGAGAGAGAGAGAGAGAGAGATATCTACTGTGATATTTTATCAGTATCACCCATTGAAATAGACTCTCTCCAAAATTAACTTGGTCAAATGGTCCTTACAGGTTCAACCCACACGCATTAGCTTATCTGAATCTCTGTCTCATTCAGTTCTCCATCCATGCCTAGATTTTGATAATATCACAGGAACATGTAACTGTAGTTCCCACTGCGATCAACAGAATTCTCAGTTTTACTAGCCTCTGAATAATCTCCTTCCTCCGCCCCAAACATCGCACACCACTCAAATAGCTTACCTTAACTCCGCTAAGAATTAAGCATAAGTGATTCCTCTTTTAGTAACATATCCTACAAATCAGAACCCGGTTAATGAATGTCTCTTTGCTACCCAGTGATCACTGTCAAAGTAAGCTCAAGCCTTTTAAGTTTCTTCTGCTCTGTATTTTTTTCTACAGTGCCCACCATCATAAATACACGTACAAAAATGTCACCATTCTATGGCTTTAGTGTGGTTTTCTACACAGCTGAACAGAATTTAGGGGTCATTCTGCGCCACTCCTTCTCCAAGTTTCCACAGGGTATCCATTTTCATCATTAGTGGCAGGGAGGGGGAGAAGTAACTTGATGAAAGGAAATGTTTTTGCTTAACCAAGGACAAACTTGAATCTCTGAGAAGGACACATTCACTGGGCGTTACCTTAACATACTGGTTTGTTCCACAGCTGCCAATTTTGCTGGCAAAAAGTACAGTCTTTGACTATCTCTAGCTTCATTGTGGAACCAGCAATTGTGCAGTCCAGACAGAGCAATCACGATATACAATATTGGCAAAAAGTCTCGCTGACACACCCATTCTTGCACATCCCTGGATTTTCACCCATTCCCCTGGCAGATTTGGCTTTCCAAACGTATTAATAACCAAACTGTCAACCCTTAATAAGAGTTTCCTTAGCCAAAAAGTAAGCATTCTGATGTGACCTGGTCTTTTTAAATCTGTAACTTTCAGCACAATCCAATACAAATCTACTCAACGTAAATTCCACTGAATTCAATGGGGTCTATTCCCAAATAACAAGACTAGGGCTGTAGCCTCAAGCTAGGAAACAAGCCCCATTGAGCTCAGAGGGATATATTTTGAATAGATACATATTGGATTGCATGGTTAGTACTCCCTGGTGCCTCCTTAGTCATAATTCATCTCAACTGCCTAATTCCACCCCCACCCTGCATTTGAAAGCTCTCCTTTTTCGGTTCCATCTGTATTTCTCATTTTCTTTGACACACACAGTTCTGGAGCATATGAAAAACCCAATTGCCCATATCTGGCCTCATTAAAAGGGGAATATTTCCTCCTTCCATTTCCTAAACACAGAGATCAATATGTTAATAAAAAAACAAATATGATTTTTTTTAAACGTCAAGTAATCCTAAAATGCATGTGCTACACACCAGGCAGGCAAGGGGGAGAACCCATATCCATGTACATAAATGTTTTTGTTTCATGTGGTTAGAGCGCATGAACTATCCCTCTCCATTTTTAAATATCGTGTGACAATAAAGTTCTACAACCAAGACACTCACATTTGCTTTCCTGTGACATTTAGCAAACAAAGGTCTATCTTTTAAAAAACAAAAAAACCAATATTTTTGTTTAAAATAATAATAATCTAAAGATCTCGTGGCTTCTGTAGGATGATGTTCAGCAGCGCAATTTCCCATCTTTTATCTTCCCATATATCCTTTGAGCCAAGCACCCCGTTCCCCAAAGCCACGCTCGTTTCAGGAGCCCTGCGCCACCCTCCGCAAAAACCAAGCTCTGAAACCAACGGGAAAGCCCTGCAAGATATGGGCCAGGGCAGTGCACCCAGCACAGCAGCATCTTCCACCTGCCCGCCGCGGAGATGGCAAGCAGAGGTCTCTCTCCCCTCGCAGCACCAAGCGAAGCTGCCGCTGGACCGACTCACCTGTTCATGAAGGCGGTGGCTGCACAGCTACCGGGACTCCCTCTCTCCGCCGCCGGCTCCCGCAGCTTCTGAGGCTTAGCGGCCACAGATCGCGCAGGGGAGGGGCTGCGGTGTCACATACCAGACACTACCATTCCTTCCTTACTTATGGGGGGGGGAGCGAGGGGCGGTGCGCCTGGCGATCAGGTGACAACAGCACTGCGCCCTACACTGCAGTGCCGGGTGGTTCCCCCGACGTGGGGGGGGGGCGGGGGCGGGAGGAGGAGGAAAAAGAACACTCAGCTCCGCCGCGTTCGGCATTGGAACTCCCCGGGTTTATTAGCATTCCAGAACGGGGAGGGCGGCGGCGGCGGTGGCAGCAGCTGCACGTGACTGCGCCTCTGCCCGCTTGGCTGCCTCTCCCAGGCGATTTGCGTGGATTCCGGCTCCTTCCATTGATCGGCCGCCTCTCGCCTTTCCCGTATATATATATCCTTTCGCGCATGGTGGGGGAGGCGGGGTGGGGGGTGGGCAGAGCCCGGGATTCGGATGCCATTGGAAGACGGGTGGCGATCCTTGCTGGCTGCACAGCTCTCCCTCTCTGCGGGCAAACGGCGGCGTCTCCGTCAGGGAGAAAGGCCCAGATTTTCTATATATATTATTAAAAATAAAATAAAATGGGGTGGGGTGGGAGGACCGCATGACGCGCGCGTGCCGGGGAAGGCTACCCGAGACGCGTGTCAGGTTCCCTCCCCTCCTCCCTTTCCGCTGAACATATTGCAAGACGTTGCATACTCTCCCCACGCCCGTCTACCAGGGTTTTTTTAAAAAAAAAAATCATCATCGTTAATTTTTATGCGATTTGTCCAAATGGATGGCCTGGAAAGCTAAACCACGTAGGCTGGGGGAGGGGGAAGCCGGTTTTGACAGCAGTTGCGAGGGTGCGTGTGTTCCTTCCTACTTGAGCCACTTGTCGGCTGCATGGAAGTGGGCGTGGTCCCGATGCTTTAAAAACCAGCTCCCCCACCCCCCAACATATTTAATATCTTTAAATCGCAGTTCTAATCGGGAGACTGCGAAGTTCGTAATGCACACACTTACTTAGGAGTAAGCCTCGTTGAATTGAACGGGGGTTTGCTTCCGAGTAGGCGCGCGTAGGTCGTTGTTGCATATCTCTACTTGATGGGAGAAATGCGCTTTCCGAGCGCGCTGTGCTGCCCTCCTTGGTCGCAGCGAAGACGAACCAGCGACTGGGAAACATCCATTTCCCAGCATTGCGCATTAGATTGGTTTCGTTGCAGCGGTTGTGCCGGAAGCAGCAGAGCTATCAAACCACTGGCAGTGGCTGGAGTTGAAAATTGCATTTAAAAATCGTTAGTATAATTTGCTCTTATTTCCTGTGCTTGCACAGCAAGAGGTCCTAAGGAGTACAAAAGTGATAATTATTTCTGCAAATCCATATGCTGCCTTCTTTCATCTTTCCAGTATGTCAAACCCCATACACAAGGTTCTGCTGTTTCCTCCCTCACCTTGGAGTACAAAAGGCAAATTCAGAAATGATGGTCAGAAGTCATGTTCACACCATAGGTTCTTTATTGGCCAGGATGTTTTTCTGTCTTGATTTCAATTGAGAGAATGTGACTCTAATAATGCCTCACCCGAAGATAAATAAACAGGTTTATCATTGCAGTTTGGAAGGCAATAGATTTCCTACACAATTATAAAGAACAATGCAACTCTAGCGGGTGCGGTTAATGGCATCTAGTAGATGGCTGTCATTTTTGAGATCTCTGATCTCTCGACACACCAAGCCCGATCCTTTGTGTATGGGGAAATTAATTTCTTTTCCATTTTGGTATTTTAAATAAGATTACTCATATGCAGAGAGTGCTTTTCTGCTTGGAAGGTTGAGCCTCTGGCCTTTAATGTGTGGTAATAAAACTCCGAAGGCTTGGTGTACAAGCTGTCAATTGTGAGACCTGGGTGAGGCCAGCGGTGACAACAGTCAGCAGTGATGGGAATGCACTCTGCACGTACTCATCCACTTTTCATTATTCCATCACATGCTCCAGGGCTGGGCCAGGCCATTGCAAATGGACTCTGGGGCTTTGACCCGGCTCAGATTGTTCCCTGTGGCAAGCATGATGATGATAACACAATATTCATTCTGATCCCACACAATGTAATGCATATGTGGATACTGGCAAAGGAAACCAGGTGTACGTTTGCAAAGCTAGGCAGGGTCCGCTAGGGTTTTTTTTTTTAATGGTTTCACTGCACCGTGATTCAGAACCTTGCCTTCAGGTATGGTGGCTCCATTCACATAACAAAATGTGGGTTCTAGAATGTGGAGAAAGCAGGCTGCCAAATAAAGGCTGGATACCATGCACGTTTAACTATGTTCAGGGAGGCTTATCCCAGGAAAGTGTGCATAAGCGCACAGTGCAATCCTCTACCTGCCTAGCCTATGCAGGAGAAAGCTGTTACTTAGGATTGCAACTTGGAATTATCATTCTGAAAACGTTGCAGTTGAAATGCCACGTGGTCCCGTCTTATCTACAGTTCGCCGAAGGCCCTGCTAGCAACGACGATGGCGATGCAGCAGCAGCAGACATACAAATCAAATGCAAAGGAGGCGGAGGGCCGAGTCGCTTGGACCGTCGGGTGGCATCTTTTCTGCCGACCCACAGACAAGTTGGGCCTGCCGGGTGGAGGCCCGGAGGCGCCCACGTGGCGGTGTGCATCGCTGGGGCCTGCGACAAGGCTTGCTTCTGTGTGGGTGGGTGTATGCATTGCGTGCGTCTGCCGGCGTCGTTTTCAAACTGCCCAGGCTGGTCAATCGAGCGAGGAGGAAGTGTGAAACAAATGGCCAAGATCTGTCAGTGCTCCGCATGCCCTGCGGCCTTTCCGTTTATTAGATTAACCCTCCCCCCCTTCTCCGGTCCGGCGCGCGCGGCCTCCGCTGGAGAGGTTGCAGAGTGTGTCTCCATCCGGCATATCCTTTACAAAACCCTTCCGCTGGGTTTGCAGCTGAGCTGGCCCCCCAGCCAACCTGCGGGGGGTGGGGAGAGAGAGAGAGAGAGAGAGAGAAGGAAGGCACAGATCGACGGACCTGATAGGAGACTCGTCGCTCTCCCCTCTGGAGCGCGGAAGGCCTAAGTGGGCGCACGCTGGCGCCGCGCGACGAAGGCGCACGGTTATAAAGGTCACGTTAAAACAATTGGAGCTGGCGGTGCAAGAAGGGATACGGTGAACGCCTGACTTGGAGCGCGCATGCTGGGGTGCGGGGTGGGACGGGTGCGCGCTTGACTATTAATCATCCGTAAAGATAATTGCTTTTCCTATCTGAAGAAAATGCAGCCTCTGAGCCCTATATGGCATTAAACCTGCGTTTTCCCTCCCGCACCCCCTCTTTGTCTTCCTCGTGGAAAAGAAATTGGACGCTGCAAAAACACGTCTCCTGACGCTGAATTTTAATACCCGGTGTATCAGTCACACGTCCTCCATTTGCGCCAATGTATAAATACCATGACTTGTATATTAATGCTTTTATCAATATGTTTTTGTTCGCTTTTAATGGGACCAGCATGTCAATGGCCGGTAAAGCTCTTCAGACCAATTAAAAGCACCCCGGATTGGATGATTATATTAGTACTTGGTGTGGGGCGATCGATATTTAATTGCTTAAGCAAATAACAACAGTCTTTTTTTCATGCTGAACATATAGCAGGGGGTGTAATGACTTTTTGCCCCTGCTGCCTAGATATTTATGGGGGACGCATCTCTTTCTGCTTCCGCAAAATGGAGCCGCCACCGAGCACGCAAACTGCGAGAAAAGTTTCTGCGCGATCTGGGAGGCGCGGCCCATGATCCTCGTGGGACTTTTTTTACTGAGTGGAAAAGGCCAAGCAAGCGAGAACATGAGCTGCACACGTAGGAGGAGAAACCAGCGGGCCGTCCTGAGTCGAGTCTCTTTTAAACCAAGGGGAATTGTGCAAGAGCGCCGCCGTTTATTTCAGTGGGGTGGGGGCTTGCGCGGGAGAACTTCCCGCTGCATTTAGGCGGATGATCCTGTATCTTTGTACGTCCGTCCATCCGTGCTCAAAAAAACGAGGAAAGGCATTTGCCATTTTATTGTATAATATAATTATATCTATATCTACCTACATATCTAAAACAACTACACAGACACACAATGACCGCGGTGAGATCTTGTTTCAAAAAACCACGTTGGTGTTTTCAAGATCCCGTTAGAATATACTGATGGAAAATAGGAGTTTAGAGTATGGCTGAACTTACTTCCGTTTTAAATGAAATCAATACGTGATGACGAGTCAACATTATTAGTGATTGAGGCCAGCTCCTAATCAGAAGTAAACACTGACCGACGAATCAATAAAGGGGACTTTTAGAGAAATTCCGAAACCTCAGCAGCTATTAAAGAGACTTTTAGAAAACTAGCGAATTCGAGACTATTGACCGTCAGTATATTTCGGAACAATTGTTTTTAATAATAGCAACTTAACCTTCGCGCTACATAAGTAAAAATCAAAATATTTTTATCTTGATTAATAAAAAGGAACGCATAGAAATAGTACAGATAGCCAACATATGAGAAGCCTTTGTTTGGGTTACTGATGTAAGATTAAAAATAAATACGTGCAGGGACATAACCCAACACTGTAGCTAGTGGTAAATCCCAAAACGACCCAGATATCTGAAAATTGTAGTTCGTTTCGACAGCATTGGGCTGAAAACAAATACTCAGAGCTAAGTGTTTCTGATCAATGAAGACATCACGTTCTAGCTTCGTTCTGATCTCTCTGAATGACAGCAGAGATTGGGTTTGGCCGTACTACTTGGATAAATTGGGGCTGCAAATTCCCCCGCTTTCCACATAAAGTTCAAAAACAAGACAGTCAGAAGTCCAAGGGGAACCACAACATGCTGATTCAGGCATATATTGATGTGATCTGATTGGGTTGGATCCTGGAAGGGCCAGCTGGCGAGAAATGAACGCGCGGGCGTGTATTTGCAAAGAAAAGTATGTGTGGCAATACCTAGTACAGTATCGCCCGATCAATCAATCACTTTATAATCCGTTCGTGCAGAGATGGGAACAAGCCTATTTCCCCACCTTTCTGAGAGGAAAGAATCCATTAGTTAATAATACTGTACCAGTAATAACGCTAAAATTATTTTTTTCCCCCTCCCGGAAAACGCCCAGACTCACTTTGAACCGCACCTTCACCTTACGTGTTATATATTCAGGGTATTTTTGTTTATTTGTTTGTTTTTAAGAAAAATGAAACGATTCTGTTCAAAGCAGCGAGAAAGCGTCGCATTGCTTAAATGGGGGCGGTTATAAGCCATCAAATCTGATGGCAACAAATCTTTAAAACAAACCATCCAGTCTCAAAATGCCAGTCATTGAAAAAACAAGACTACCGAGGTTTTGCAATCCGATACACGCAGTGAATGACCTGCAGAGTCTGCTACACAAACCTTTCCTCTGCTTTGTTTTGTTTTATAGCAGCTACACAGTTTGGTCTATTAATTTTAAACGCTAACAGTGTGCAGGCAAGTATTTTGCTTCATTCTACACCAAACCCATGCCTTGTTCTGCTGGTGCCGATTGCTTAAATGCGCTTTTTTAAAGGATCGTTTCCAGCAGGCAATGCAAAGTGTTGCATTCCCCCCCCCCCCGCCTTCTTTCAGAGCAAACGTTCTGCAGCAGGATGCTATTGTGTTCCTTTTTTTTATTATCGTTGAAGCGCTAGTAAACCTCGCGCCTCGCCTGCTTGCCTTGTGCTAGAGCCACGCCCAGGCAGCCCTCGAAAGGCGCATGGAGAAGCGTCACCAAAACCCCAAACCAGCCCCGTCGCAGGCGTTTGAAGTGTGATGGGGACATGAGTCCTGTAAAAGAATCCTCATCAAAACAGACCCTCCAAGTCTCTGCTCTCCGGATCTGTCCGGATGAAGGGGGTAGGGCTCCTCCGCACCCCCCTCCCCGAAAACTTTTTACTACCACTTGCCGCTTTCAAGTCAAGCCCTTTTGATGTTCAAACGCCCAATTTGCACCTCCTCGGCTTAGACAGAGGAGTTCCTCCACCCCACCTCCGCTTTTTATTAGAAATGCAGTCAGATCGTGATAGGATTTATTATTTGAGCTGTTTTCAGGCTATGTGACTTGAGAGGAGATACGATAGCCAACTTCAAATATGGCAAGGGCCGTTAAGTCGAAGATGGAGCAAGCTTGTTTTCTCCTGCTCTGGAAGGTAGGACTCCAACCAACGCAGTCAAGTTGCAAAATAGGAGATTCCGGCAAAACATTATAAAGAACTGTGTGGGCAGTAAGAGCTGTTGGACAGTGGAACAGACCAATTCTCCCTTGGGAGATTGCGGACTTTTCCTTCCTTGGGAGTTTTAAAGCAGATGTTGGGTGGTCTTCTGTCATGGATGCTTCAGCTGAGATTCCAGCATTGCAGGGGGTTGAACCCTTCCAACTCTACAATTCTATGATGGACAGGAGCCACCAAATCATTTGAAGAGAAAAAGAATGGAAGAGAGGAGGGAAGTATGTGGCACTGAAAGAGAGATTGTGAGAAAAGTCCACACCACTCATAGGAAAAGAGGCAGGGGAATTCTGGTGTGCTTTGATGCAACACCTTTCTGAATACTGATGTTCTTGGGTGCCATCAGTGTCCTGTTCCAGGGTCCTCAATTTGCAGAGCTAAGGGTGCAGTCAATGGGTAGGGTTGCACTCCAGTGTGAGGTGGAAGAAAATCTCATTCAGTGGAGCTTGCTTCTGAGTACAGTGGTACCTTGGGTTAAGTACTTAATTCGTTCTGGAGGTCTGTTCTTAACCTGAAACTGTTCTTAACCTGAAGCACCACTTTAGCTAATGGGGCCTCCTGCTGCTGCCGCGCCGCCGGAGCACGATTTCTGTTCTCATCCTGAAGCAAAGTTCTTAACCCAAGGTACTATTTCTGGGTTAACAGAGGCTATAACCTGAAGCGTATGTAACCTGAGGTACCACTGTATAGCTAGGTTAGATAGAATAAGGCTGCATGCATGGGATGGATCGAATAGAGTAGCATTTGTTGTATTAGTCCATAGACCATAGCAGAAGGCTGCCTGGGAACTATGATTCAAATCCCACTGGCAAGGACTATCCCAAACATGTCTACTCAGAAACAAATCCCATTGAGTTCATTGAGACTTACTCCCAGCTAAGTGAATATAATACTCCAGCTTCTGTAATGAACTCACTAGGTGGCCTCAAACAAAGCCACTACCTGGGAAGGACCATAGCTCAGTGGTAAAGCGGTTTGCATGCAAAAGGTCCTAGGTTTAATTCCTGGTGTCCCCAGGTAGGCTGGGAAAGACTCCTGCCTGAAACCCTGGCAGAGAGATGCTGCCAGTCAGTGTTGACAATATTGAACTAGATGGACCAATGGAATGACTAAGGAAGATTCCTATATTCCCAACTCTTCACGAGGCTGGGATGTTGTACAAAGCAGCGAGTGAGGGGAGTGTGGGGAAAGCACAACAGCCAGGCTGGAGTCATGGAGTCTGCATTTGAACTCAAGTTGGGAGACTGCAAAGCAAAGGAAATACTGCTAGATGTTTGCAGGTATCAGGTTACAGCGAGGATTCTGGGAGGAAGCAGCAATATCTGATCCCCGTTTTTAAAAACCATTAAAAAAAGACCAGCTGTAACTCAGACCTGTCTTATGTTGGTGGGATAACCAGTTTCCACTACAAAGGAATTCTGGGTTGTCCTCGGTTGATATTTTCACTGGTGATCTCTTAATTTCCTTTCCCATCTTATTCCAATTAGGATCAAAATCAGCCTTCTTACTTCATACAGAGCCATGCTTTTGACATTAGCAGCTACAATATCACGCTATTAATGGGAGCCCCCCCCCCAGGACCACAGCAATTTTCACCAGCAGATGACTGCTAAGGGAGTAAATGACCAAAAAGGTTTTCCAGTAAGACTCATGAAGAATCAAATTACCAGCTCTATTATTTCACTCATGTTATCAATTTCTGCAGCCGAAGAGTAGCTTTAATTGCCAGCCGTGAAACTAGACAGGAATGCTGTGTGCCTGTATGTGGGGAACAAGAACAAATGTCTTGGTTTCTAGCATCGCAAGACAAGCCTTGCCAGACTAACCTCCTCTGCTAAAATTTAATTTACTAGACAGAGAAAATGCAGTTGGATTCAGCTTTAGAATTCAGCAAGGCATTCAGCCTAGTCCTGCTTGTCTGTCTCCTTGAATTAAAAGTAATTGCTATTAAGATGGAAATATAGTTGGCTTAAAAAACACACACCAAAATACCCTACCATTGGCTGACAACCACTGATTGTCAGAAAAGAGCTTTCCAGCAAGATTCTGCAGAAATGAGATCCAAGCTTGGTACCAATCACTCTTTTAATTAGGAAGGAGTATATCTGTCAGGTTCCCGCCCTCCCAAGATCTGCTGACCACTGCCCCATGTGGTGAGTTACAGTGGTGCACTTTCTCAGTGAAGTGTCAGGAACTGCTAACCACTGCCCAATGTGACAATCAATGTCACTATAGTTTCTCAGGCAAGGACCTTCCAGATTGACTCTGCCCAGGCTAGCTCTTCTCCTCTTGAGCAGGAAACAGTACAAGAGGGCTTCCTATCCTTGTTCTTTGCTTGAACAACAACCTGAGCTCCTGCCTGTCTCTTGTTTCTGGTTTCGTTCTATGGTTGTGACTCTATAGTCTTGTTCTGCCGGTTCTGCATTTTGCCTCCATTTGGATTGTTCTTTGGGCCTGGCTCCAAATTCCTGGCTCTGAGCTTGCTTCAGGTGGCCCAAGAGGAGGGTTGGCACCTGTCTCCTTTATAATACAGGATTGTCCCGTATTTCTAGGCAAAATGCTACGTCCTGTATTGATACAGATTTGTCCTGTATTTCAGGTCTTCTCTCTCTTGCACCTTTTGTCAAAAGGGCACAAACTTGTTTGCAATGTGGCAGATCTTAGGATCCAGTCCACACCCCAGCGCACATGATGTAGCACATATGCATCTGGGAAAGCATCTGAATGTGCAGTCGAATGCAGATACTATTTCTCAGCAGTTCATTGTCCTGCTGTGCGAGGGAAGATTGCTTCAGCAACAGCGCTCTCCCCTCCTGTCATTTCCAGCAAATGGTATTCAGACTGCCTCTGACAGTAGAAGTTCCTACCAGCCAAGCGCTCATCGTCTTCCACCTTGGCCCTTGCTAATTTGTTTGGAGTCCTGTACAAACCCTAATATTGCAACCTTGAAGAGTATAAATGAGTACTGGATTCTAAGCACCAAAGCAGTAGTTTAATTGGTGTGGGATTTTTTTTCCTGGGGGGCGGGCAGGGGAATTACATTCAGGGCTCACAGCACCCATGACCTTTACAATAGATAAGGTTGCCTTTACAGCGTTCTCAGAGAATCACTTTGAACATTACTTTTTAAAACGTGCACTGTCAGTGTAAACAAAACACCTTGGCCTGCACCTCAAAATGGGAAGTGTGAATGCAGCAATTAGGTATATTATACAAGTAAGTGAACTACGCATGCAGCAAAATGAGCTGGTGGGATCCTGAGGTGCAAAAGAACTGTACTCCTACAGAGTACAGAGGATTTGCTATGAAACGAATGAAGCTTAAGCTTCAGGGCCCCTAATCCTGAAAGGGACCCAGAAGCAAATTTAGTCCCCATTGCTTAAAAATTGGGGGTCTAGTAGACCCAATTTGAGTCTCACTACAGTGGTACCTTGGGTTAAGTACTTAATTCGTTCCGGAGGTCCGTTCTTAACCCGAAACTGTTCTTAACCTGGAGCACCACTTTAGCTAATGGGGCCTCCCGCTGCTGCTGCGCCGCTGGAGCACGATTTCTGTTCTCATCCTGAAGCAAAGTTCTTAACCTGAAGCAATATTTCTGGGTTAGCGGAGTCTGTAACCTGAAGCGTATGTAACCTGAAGCATATGTAACCTGAAGCGTATGTAACCCAAGGTACCACTGTACTCGAATGGATTAATATTTTATTGAGAGTCAGATGTTGTCAAGGTTGCCATGGAACAACCCCATTGAATAAGGCAACAGTGGTTACCCAGACCTTGTTGCTGGTTGCGAAGGGCCCCCCATGACGGTTTGACCTTCAGGGTCCCAAAATGTAGGTCTGCTATTTGTTGGGGGGGTGCCATTTTTAAATGCTACTCCATGTTGAAACTGCATGCAAGCAGTACACAAACATGTCCTGTACCCTTGGGAAGGAGCATGTCCTGTACCCTTGGGAAGGAGCTGTTTTGCCACCCCACCCCGGGGGGGGGAGCACTTTACCCCCATTGTTCAGCCTGGACACTGAGGTCCAGTGCTGAGGGCCTTCTGGCGGTTCCCTTGCTGCGAGAAGTGAGGTTACAGGGTACCAGGCAGAGGGCCTTCTCGGTAGTGGCGCCTGCCCTGTGGAACGCCCTCCCAGCAGATTTCAAGGCAATAAACAACTATTTTACTTTTAAAAGACAACTGAAGGTGGCCCTGTTTAGGGAAGTTTTTAATGTCTGATGCTGTATTGTTTTTAATATTCGGTTGGAAGCCGCCCGCCACAGTAGCCACATTAGAAATGACTAGATTTAACACACCTCAAGTACACAAAGCATCCGGAATGAAGGCAAGGCGAGGAGGAAGGGCCAAAAAACCCACACACCTTTGTGCCGTGGTGCAAGAAGGAAGCAAAGCTTCTCCTGTGTTCAATCTTGCTGCAACAGCGAATTGTCATACATATGTGTCGTATACTCCATAGTTTAATAGGTGATTTTTGCACACACACACTGGGCCTGCACCCCCAGCAGAAGCCAGCTTCACCAACCCCTAGGAACAGCTCTGCACACATACCAGGAGAGAGGTTCTAGTCCAGTGGGGATGCAGGTGGTGCTGTGGTCTAAACTACTGAGCTTCTTGGGCTTGCCGATCACAAGGTTGGCAGTTCAGATCCGCGTGACAGGGTGAGCTCTCGTTGCTTTGTCCCAGCTTCTGCCAACCTAGCCATTTGAAAGCACACCAGAGCAAGTAGATAAATAGGTACCACTGCGGTGGGAAGGTAAATGGGGTTTCTGTGTGCTCTGGCTTCCATCACGGTGTTCCATTGCGCCAGAAGCGGTTTAGTCATGTTGACCACATGACCTGGAAAAGCTGTCTGCAGACAAGCGCCGGCTCCCTTGGCCTGAAAGCGGAGATGAGCGCTGTACTCCATAGTTGAATTCAACTGGAGTTAACCGTCCAGGGGTCCTTTACCTTTACCTTTTTTATTTTAGTCCAGTTCACACCATGTGTTGTTTTACACAGGAAGCAGCATTCAAAAAGGCATAAAGGTAAAGGTTTACACCACAGCGCCACCCGTGTCCCTCAGAAAGGCATACCCACCAGCAAAATAAAAATAAAAATGGAGCAGTCCATTCTATCACTTTGCATTTCTTCTCTGCCACCTCGTTCTGGACTGGCCCCAAACAGTTTGCTGCCTGAGGTGTGCAATAAGATGGCAATTCACTCCCTTATCCATCAAGAGAAACTGAGCGGACATGCTGTTGAATCTTACTTCAGTGCTGGCAAGGGGACAGCAACTTCTACTGCAGCAGAGGCAGAGGGCTGGCGACATGGCACACAAAGCCCTATTGCTCAGCGCCTTGCTACTGCTCCCCTGCCCCCCATCATCTGCTGCTTAAGGCAGCCACCCCACTCTGCCTAATGATAGGGCCGGTCCAACCCTGCCTCGTTACCTTTTCATTCTGCTGCATATGTAGACCAGAATGAATGTTGCCGGGGAACTCTACTTGGCTGCAGCTTCCTTTTGACAGTGTTTATGCCGTGTACACACCGTTTATTAAACCTAGGATTTTTAAAAGCAGGACTTTGCTGGAACTCAGTTCTGACACCTCTCAAGTATGCACCATACGGGAACAAAGGAGGCATTTATGATGAATTCCGGCACCTCTTTTTCTAGAAAAACAGCATTGTATTTAACCCACTCCCACCCCCCCGAAAAAAGAATGCTGGGAATTGTAGTGCTCTGAGGGGTGAACTGCAGTTCCCATGATTCTTGTAGGGGGACATACACTTTAAACATGCTTTAAGGGCACATTGCGTACACAAACCCCAAATTTGCTGCGTAATGAGTGAAACAGCTGGGCTAGGGTTTAAACTCTTGGCCACGGAGCAGGGGGCAGGGAGACTCAGGCCCAAATCCCTGTTTAGCCATGTAGGCCTCAGGCTACCCTCACAACAAAACAGGGAGAGGAAATGGTCTGTCTATGCCCTCTTTGAGCTCCTTGGAGGACAGGGCAGGATATCAATGTAATAAGTGCC